GAGGTCTCAGTTTCAGCTCTGCACGGCCTCTCCACTAAGCTTGAGTTTTAAAAATTTATTTATTTTTTTTTTTTAAAGATTTTATTTATTTATTTGAGAGAGAGAATGAGAGATAGAGAGCACGAGAGGGAAGAGGGTCAGAGGGAGAAGCAGACTCCCCGCTGAGCAGGGAGCCCGATGCGGGACTCGATCCCGGGACTCCAGGATCAGGACCTGAGCTGAAGGCAGTCGCTTAACCAACTGAGCCACCCAGGCGCCCTTGAGTTTTAAAAATTTAAATACCTTCCCTTTGTTCTCCCAGCCCAGATGGTGGTATTGCTTCCAGTAACTGCCGCCTCCAAGGTATCTTACTATTCTGTTCTTGACTTGTTGGCTAACCAGTCAATAACTTTATACCTAGGTGACAATCGTTGAGATTAAATTCTCTCTGCTCAAATAAATAGTGTGGTTTCTATCTCCTGATCAGACCCTTCCTGATACATATATAGTGTGTGACATCGTAGCACTGAAAAAAGTATTTGTTGAACCAATGGCAATAACACTGAGTCTTACCACCTCAGGCTTTGTTCTAAGTGCCCTACAGGCCTTTCCTCATTTCATCCTCAAAGTAATCTGATCAGATAGGAACTGTTATCCCTAATAAAAGGAAAAATAAATACTGATATGTAGTGAGTATTGAATTGAATGCATTGCCAGGTAAAGCAGGGAAACTTGATCCAGTAGAGAAGTTAGGCCATGTGAGATTGCATCTTCAGATTAAGTGTTAGCAAACAACTCGGGATGCAGGAAAGGTTTCCTTTGGGGTAGGTAATGTACAAGGGCTGAACAGGCCCTGTGAAAACTGACTCCATCCAATGGCAAGGGTGAGCTTCTAAGGGCAATAGCCCCGGTTTCAGCAGGAGGGGGAATTTCTTAGTTTAAACAAGTCTTTAGCTTGTCAGCACAGGATTGTTTGGTTTGTAATGGATCTGAGCCCCAATTCCATTTGTGACTTTTTGGAACTTTATCGACCCCAAAAGTCATTAGGTTGAGTCCAAATAGTACAGTTGAGGCACAGATCACAAGTATGACAAGTTCATCACCAGGCTCTTTTTGCTGATTCTGATTCGTTCTCCAAGAAGCAGTTGCTTTGAGCCCCAACCAATGCTTTCTTGCATTTTATCAGCAATATAGGCTCAGAGTCAGGCAGTAGGAAAGCTTATCTGTAGATACTCAAGATTCAGCATACATTTCCTTATCATCTCATTTTTACCATGAGGAACCTGAGCCACAGAGCAGTTAAGTAGCCCCCCCTTGGTCCCACAGTGGGTCAGTGATAGAGCCAGACATTGGCAGGTACGGTAGGTGGCTTACTTTTCAAGGGAATCGGTTTCCTGAGGCCATGTTTCCCTACAGGTACTCATATGGGCCAAGCCTTCCTGGTCAGGCAGGTTGACTCAGAGTTGGTATATTTAACCACTTTGTTACACTGTTTCTAAGGGAAAGGGGGGAGAGAGAGAGAGAGACCAAGAATTTAGTATTGTTAAGAGCATGGACTCTAGTGCTCAGTAGATCTAGGCTAAAATCCCAGATTTACCTTATGCCACCTACAACTTCCATGAACTAATTAAGTTACTTAGCTATCCTAAGGCTCGGTTTCCTCATCTGTAAAGTGGGAAAAACAATATATACATACCGAAAAGGGCCCTGTTTAATCTATTTTATATCATTTTTTTAAAGCATGCCATTTTGTGGTCCATGACTGTCCCCTAGAGGTAAGATTAAAATTTGCACTCTATAATTATGCAAAATACAATTCTAAAGAACCCCTTTCTTCCCAAACTGTTCAGCAAAAAAGCCAGTAGTTTCTGCAAATCAAATGGCCCAATAACCACTGGCCTGTAGTGTCTCTGATATCTTTGAATTGCAAGTTCAGGCTTTTTCAAACGGAATCAGCAAGGCCCGGCTCAGCTGGGTACTGCAGGGCACCATGGCACCAGAGAAGGGATTCGCATGAAAAGTAAGTTACCTGCTATCAACAATAACAACAGCACATGAAACCCAGAGAGCTTTACAAATGAGGGTCCCCCACATCAAAGAAAGAAATTGTCCCCTCTCTTATACAAACAACTTCAAATAACAACAGAAAGAAAGAGAGAGAGAGAGAGAGAGAGAGAAGAAAGTTGGCCAATTCACTTTATAAGGCTAAACTAAGTCTGCAATCTTTTAACCTAAATTCTTTGGGGTTTGGGAGTTCACGAAGATAATGCGGTATATAAGTTGTGTATAACACCTCCAGCAAAGTCTGGACCAGTTCCGACAATCAAATATGTTAATATCTTTGCAGCATAGCATACTAAGTGGGATAAATAAAAACTATAAATAGGCTCACCTCAAATCAGATTTCACTGTCAAATGAGCTCGCTGAAAAAGTACTCTCCTTAAAAAAAAAACACAAAAACACCTGTTGTTAGTTCTCAGGGCTTTTTGAACTTTAGAATTGCAGATAAAGATTGTGAGCCTATTAATGGATGCCAAACAAATCTGGGATGCTAGTATGAGAAAAGAAAATTTAGCCCAAACTTGTTAAAATATTTGCAAGACTCCTAAAGTAAAACGCAGCAGTGTATAAAACAAACATAGCATGACTCCTCTCTCTCCCATTCTTTGCTCTCTACTTTCAAAATATATCCAGAATCCCGCCCACCACTTTTCACCACCTCCACTGCTATTCCCCCCCCCGGCCACATCACCGTATCTCAACTGAATTTTTGTAATAGCTTGCTAACTGACCTCATTCTCTCCCCACAGAAGCCAGAATGGTCCCACTAAAGCACATCAGGTGTTGCCACTCCTCTGGGCAAACCAGAGGAATTCAACCAAATCGAATTCAGAATAAAAGTCAAAGTTCTTACAATCACCTGCAAAGCCTTACGTGATCGGATCTCCCAGTGGTCTTTCTGGCCTCACCTGTCACTGCTCTCCCAACAGCTCACTCCACTTGAGCCGCAATGGCCTTAAGGCTCCTTGAACTGGAGGGGAAGAAGGAAGACACGAGAGCAACTCCAGGCAAAACACCGCAGAGTCTCACTGTTCTTACCTGAAGTTCACCCGGTTCTCAGGAATAAACACTTCTCAGTTTGTCATGTAGCTGAGGCGCAGGGGCTCAGGAGCAACTGTGCCAGGTACTAGAGGCAAAATCAAATATATATATTTTTCACTATGCCACACCCACTTAAAGGATACCTGGTCAGATTCTCCTTGAGAGTGACCTTGTCGGTCTGGAATCGTGCCAGGGACCCAAGGAGATACCATAATCAGATCTCAGAGCCTTATTTCTATGAGCATCTCCTTAGTTTGGCCTGAGGTTGGTGAGGTCAGCTACTGCTTGGCTCTGGGAACACAATAGGCACAGGCCTTGGTGTCAAAGTGGGACAGACAGATACACCTGACTAGAGTTACAGGGTGTGTTTTCCTGTTGGCTTCTGGGTTTGGGGGTTGTGGCCTCTGTCTGCAGAGGTGGGGGTGAGTGAAGCTTAACTAGGACCTCTGACAAGGACTGGTGGGTAACTCCTGATGGAGGAAGGAGAGAACCAGATGAACAAAGGCAGAGGTGAGAGAAAAGGGCATGTGGTAAGGGCCAGAGTTAATATGGAGGTTGGGGTTGACTTGACACAGCCATGGTCCCTTGTCAAGGGCTCTAGGAGCCTTGTTATCAGCATTCATCAGTGTTTAAGCAGGAAGCTCTGGGGAATTTAGGTTTATTTTGAAGAAAGATCACCCTAGGAAAAAGCTGGAGGGTGGATTGAAGGGAAAAAGCCACCAACTCTTTCCTAGTCAACTGCATTAACCTGGTCTCCAGGATTCCATCCAAATCTTTCAGGCTATAGTGGTCAAAGCACTATCTTAGAATATAAAATGTGACCATGAACTCCCTGATATAACCTTCAGTAGCTTCTCCAAACTGCCAAATTGCTCACATGGCTTATGGGGCCCTGCTTGGTGTGGCCTCTGCCCACCTTTCCTGCCTGATCTCATGGTTCTCCCTTGTACGATCTGACCCTTTCATTCCTTGAGTGTGCACAAGTGTCTCTCCCTCAAATCTTCTTCCTGCTTCCTCCTCTCCCTGCTTCTTCTTCCTTTAGGCTCAGCTTAGAGAAGACTTACTTTATTTTATTTTATTTTATTTTTATTTTTATTTTGAGAGAGTGTGTGAGTGTACGCACTGGGGGGGGGGGGGGGGGGGGGGGAGGGCAGAGGGAGAGAGAGAATCTTAAGCAGGATGCGACCAGCTAAGAGCAGGAGGTGGAGAGCAGAGCTTGATCTGCCCACACTGATCATGACCTGAGCCTAAATCAAGAGTCCCCCACTTAACCGACTGAGCCACCCGGGTGCCCCCAGGCTTCAGCTTAAATGTGACCTCAAAGAGGTCTTAACCCACAGCTCTATGAAAAATAGGTGGCCCCCATTATCTTCTACCACAAATGGCCATCTGTGATTTATGTATTGGTTTATTCCAAGAGTCGCAAACTTTTTTCCTAAAGAGTCAGGTGGTAGATATTTCAGGTAAGTCTCCTGATCATGTAGTGTGAAAGCAGCCACAGACAATACCGAAAGAGATGAGCATGACTGTGTTCCAATAAAAGTTTATAAACACTGAAAACTGGATTTCATAAATTTTCACTGTGACAAGATATTCTTGTTAAAAAAAATTCTCCCCATCTATTTAAAAATGTAAAAACCATCTGTAGCTGCCAGGTTGTCCAAGGGCACGCGGGTGGGGGCGGGGCGGCCCGTAGTTTACAGACGGTTTATTACTCGCGGAGCCGGCGGATTCGCCCCAGGCCGGTTTCTACTGCAGCGGGCACAGACCAGGTCCCCGCTCCGCAGCTCACTCACCGCGCCGCACCTCCCACCGCCGCCGACGCTGACTGACAGCCGGGGGGCGGGGTCTGCGAGCGCCTAGACGCAGGGGCGGGGCCGGGGGCGGGGCCGAGGGAAGGGGGCGGGCTGAACGCCGCCTTCCGGCGGGTGAGCGCGGGAGCAAGATGGCCACTACCAAGCGTGTGCTGTACGTGGGTAAGGAAGCGCGGAACTAGGCGGAATCGGGTTGACCGACCCGGAGTGGGTCTTGGCGTGGGGCAGGAACGCGTCTACGGTCGCGGAGGGTGGCGAGCCTTTGTCTAGGCCGGATCGATGGCGGTGTTGCTTTGCTTCTGGGAGCTAGCTGCAGACGTAGCGGTCTTTCCGGCTCCCTTCCAAGCCGGCTGAGCTTTAACAGGAACCCCTTCACCTGCTGGGCAGGGAGGATTGGTAGAGGAATATTATGAAGCTCCAGATCTTCGCACTCTTTGATTTTACAGACCTTCACTGCAGCGATGGCTCTGCCCTGGCCCCTGCCCCTTTAAAGGAGGGAGTTCCCAGACTAACCCGGTAGAAGTGAGAATAACCCCCATAGCGAAGTTTGATGAGCGCGTTGTAGGCAAAGTGGGGGCAGTTGTGTTTACTGAAAGGGAGTAGCAAGAGCAAAAACCCGAAGGTGTGAAACAGCCTTACACATGGAGCGAAGGGGTCATCGTGCGGGAAACCCAGAGAATTGAGGAAGCAAAGGAAAGAGGGTGAAATGATTGGCAGGGCCCAGGTTATAAAGAGCCTTGTGTACGCTGCCAAGGAGTTTGTACTTTCTCCTGAGGACAGTGGGAAGTCTTTGAAGGAGTTTAAGCAAGTTTAAACTCCTTTAAACTGATGGGTTAAAATCTGCATGTTCCCAGGATCGCTCTAGTTGGCTGTGTGGAGGAGAGGGAGGCCAGTTTAAGAAGCTATTGCAGTAATCCTGGCTCTAAGATGAGCGTCTGCAAGAAGGGTGAAGAGGTGTGTTTCATAATTATGGGGGAGGGAGCAAATGAGAACGTGCTTATGTACCCAAGGGACTGGATGGAACAGCCCCTCTCCTTGGCTATCACATGCTAACTGGGCTGCAGGGACTTCTCAAGAGAATGGAGGACAGTGGCTCAGAAGGCGCTTGGCATCTTTGCAGGTGGGTTGGCAGAGGAGGTGGACGACAAAGTTCTTCATGCCGCCTTTATCCCTTTTGGAGACATCACAGATATTCAGATTCCTCTGGATTATGAAACAGGTGAGTCTTTTTCATGTCATGTTCAGAATCCTAAGAGGAAAAGAATTTGAAAAAAATTCTAAATATACATTGTAAATATGGTTGATATGTAGGAAAGTTCAAGAGGGTGCCTCATTAGGGCAGCAGGACAGTGATCTTGATGCAGAAGGAATGTTCTGAGGCTTGTGGTTATGTGCAACATAACTTTGCAGAGGATCCCATCTGTTGAGTGTGAGATACCAAATTTTCAATAGCCCAATAGGAAGATAGGTTTTGAGCTACATGGAGATCTGACTGTTGTTTCAAACTACCTGCTGGGTACCCCACCACCCCTGCTCCTTTCTTGGCAGCTGTAATGTTAATCAGGGCAGCAGGGAAGCTCAGCCCCAACCAAGGGGCTTTGGCCTCTGCTCTCCTGGGGGAGATTTCCTTCAATTGGTATCGCAGGTACAGTGCAGTTTTTCTATTTTGCCTTTGTTGTCATTTTTTTTTAAAGATTTATTTATTTATTTTAGAGAGAGGGCCGAGCACAGGAGTGGGGGGAGGGTCAGAGGGAGAGAATCTCAAGCAGACCCCCTGCTGAGCGAGGACCCCCCCCCCCAACTCAGGGCCGGATCTCACTACCCATGAGATCATGACCTGAGCCAAAATCACAAGTTGGGCGATTAACTGACTAAGCCATCCAGGTGCCCCAGTTAGTTGTCATTTTTAAGACTGGAGTTTTAGGCCTAAATCTGTCATTGACCCTGCCTGATTATTAGCAAGGTCTTTAAACTCTCTGGGCCTGGGATCTTTATCTGTAAAAAAACAATATGGGCATACTTTGGAGATATTACAGGTTTGGCTCCAGACCACCACAACCAAAACAATATCGCAATAAAACAAGTCAAATGAAATTTTTGGTTTCCTAGTGCAAATAGAAGTTAGGTAACTATATTGCAATCTATTAGGTGTGTAATAGCATTATGTCTAAAAAAAATAATGTACCACCTAAATTTAAAAATACTTTAGGGGCGGGGCACCTGGGTGGCTCAGTCGTTAAGCACCTGCCTTCAGCTCAGGTCATGATCCCAGAGTCCTGGGATCGAGCCCCACATTGGGCTCCCTGCTCGGCGGGAAGCCTGCTTCTCCCTCTCCCACTCCCCCTGCTTGTGTTCCCTCTCTCGCTGTGTCTCTCTCTCTGTCAAATAAATAAATAAAATCTTAAAACAAATAAATAAAAAATAAAATACTTTAGGGGCGCCTGGGTGGCTCAGTTGGTTACGTGTCTGTCCCTTCAGCTCAGGTCATGATCCCAGGGTCCTGGGATTGAGCCCCACATTGGGCTCCCTGCTCAGCGGGGAGTCTGCTTCTCCCTCTCCCTCTGCTGCTCCCCTGCTTGTGCTTTCTTGCTCTGTCAAATAAATAAATAAAATCTTAAAAAAAAATACTATATTGCTGGGGCACCTGGGTGGCTCAGTTGGTTAAGCATCTGCCTTTGGTCCAGGTCATGATCTCAGGGTCCTGGAATTGAGCCCCGAGTTGGGCTTCTGGCTCAGTGGGGAATCTGCTTCTCCCTCTCCCTCTGCCCCATCCCCGCTTGTACATACACTCTCTCAAATAAAATCTTTTAAAAAATGCTTTATTACTAAAAAATACTAACCATTCTATGAGCTTTCAGCGAGTTGTAAACACTGATCACGGATCACCATAACAAATAAAATAGTAATGAAAAAGTTTGAAATACTGTGAGAATTACCAAAATGTGACACAAAACATAAAGTGAGCAAATGCTGTTGGAAAACTGGTGCCATTAGAGTTGCTTGATGCAGGGGTCCCTTCGGTTTGTAAAAAACCATGAGATCTATGAGGTGCAGGAAAGCAAAGTGCAGTAAAATGAGGTATGCCTGTAAAGTTATGTTCGCTCTCTAAAGTTAGTTAGTTTCATTAAATGAACACTGTTGTGCTTGGCCTTTCAAGTTAGATCAGCATTTTTCTGAGGATAAAGAGTGAGCATCCTAATTCATGTTTTAGGATTCGTGCTTTATGCATAGTTGATGCTCAAAATGTGGGATCAGTAATTGAGAAGTTAAATAACTTCATGTTTTTACTTGCCTTGTATGCAGAGGTTAAGGTTTTAATTTGGCTTTGATAGAAGAACTGACTGCCTGAAATTTCAAAAGTATAGTTCATTATTTAGCTATGTTTTCTAAAAGACAAAGTTCAATATTGCTTGAAATGTTGTTTAAAAACTGGAAGAATTGAAGAAGGAGATTGCTTCTTACAAAATAGTGATTGGGTAGAATTTCTAGTGTCAGGATATGGCATGTGATTGACTTCACTTTCCTTGTGACCATGTTTCTTCCCATTGCCCCCCATGGTAATTACTTGTTTTTGTTTTCCCTTTTTTTTTTTTTTTTTTTTTTTTTCAGAAAAGCACCGAGGTTTTGCTTTTGTTGAATTTGAGTTGGCAGAGGTGAGAAAATTCTGTGTGACCTGTGTTTAGTCTTTGGCTTATTTGAGTGTTGTTAGTGGTTACAAAGGCAGCTGGATTCCGTTTGGTTAGGTTTCTAGGCCTCTTGCTGATGCTTCCATAGAGACAGGATGTGCTGCTTGATGGAAAGCTTCCCTCAGTCAAATTCTAGACTGTTAACAGCATAGACGTGCCCCTCTTGCTCTGCCGAGCTCCTGTAGCTCTGCTCACTGAGGCTTCTTGCCTGGCAGCGCTGGTGAATATTTCTTAAGCCTTTCTGGACATGGCAGTTGCTGCACCACCAGCTCTGAACTCAGCCAGGAAGTGCTCTTTGTTAGAGACACATACAATCTCAGCAAGAGGTATAGATGTGACTTCTTCCTCTTTTGTTTGGTTTTACTTTGTTTTTCTGTTGCTGAGTATATGTTTAGACACCACAAGAAGCTAAACTTGACCTTGTCTTTTCTCGGCAGGATGCTGCAGCAGCTATTGACAACATGGTATGGCTGAGAATCTTCATTCTTACCGAAGTTGCTTTTGGGTGGTACGGAGGGTCCTTGTGCATCTGTTGGTTTGCCGAACTGCCAAGTTACAAGGTTGCATGGGGAAGCAAAAGCTGTCATCGTGTGAAAAGATTCACTGTGAATCGATCACTTTTAAGACTCGTCCTTACTCGAACGTCCTTCCCCGTTTAACAGTGATATAAATACAAATCCTTGTTATAGGCCAGTCTCTCACTGGCTGCCCCATGTCTAGGATAATAAATTGCAAACACTATGTAAATTGATTGCACAGTGAAATAGCATATTTTGCAGAAGAGGCAGGATTTCCTAAAGCCTCAGAGCAATTAACAAGTGAGGAGAAATTTCCAGTAAGGATAATGGCAGGGTATGCTACTGATGCCAGTGATTTAAATATCCTGGAGAGGTCTTCGGGAGTAATGATGAAACGCTGGAGTATTTGTGTCCTCTTTAAGGTCTTTGTGATTTTTACATCAGATCAGAAGTGCAATGATGTCATATCATACTGTTGATAGAATTTTGTTGGAAAAAACACTGCACATTAACCAGCACCTGTTACATCTTTGCTCTACAAAATAGTACATAAAACTGAAATTTATAATAAATTTATTTCCCTTATTTTCAGTTTCATCACAATAAAGTCCCATTCCTTTTTTTTTTCCTTCACTTTTTACTGTGACATTTTCTTCACTGCTCTAAATGGATTTATGTGAAGTGACCGTTCCTGGTACCAATTATCTTTGGAGGATAAAGTTCTTTATTCCTGTTCTGTTACCTGAACATCTTCCTCAGCCCCCAGAGATCATTTCTCACCATTTCAAAGCAGATCTTGACTTTTGAAGGTGAACTCAAGTACTTGGAAACTGCTTGTATCCTTGTAATCCTAGGGCACTCTGGACCTGGAGTCACTTTCAGGAGCACAGGTTTTTGCTAGTATGAGAGAAAGGAGGTGTGTGGTGGAGGGAAATTGCCTGCAAGCTGTGGGCCGCTGTGCGGCGGGCACAGAGCTTGCTGTTAGGGGCTCACGGATTAAGGGAGAACAAATCATGAGCATGTCTCGGATGTATCAAAACCAAATGCAAAGCTGTCTGACTCTCTTAACCTGACAGAGTTGAAGCAGCTGGGTGTTCAATCTTTACAGAATGAATCTGAGCTCTTTGGACGGACAATTCGTGTCAATTTGGCAAAACCAATGAGGATTAAGGAGGGCTCGTCCAGGCCAGGTGAGTGGGGGCAACCACAGGTTCCCTGCCACGTCTTCCAGTGTGGCCTTAGTTGCATTTTTATCCCCATTTACTTGGAAATAGGTGCTGATTGCCACTCTGGATGCAGAGGAGTAGAGAATGATTCATGTTGGCAGAGGGCATGAGCTACCTTTGTAGGGAATGAAAAAGAGTTTGAGCTCCTCAGAGAAATTGTTTGCATTGAGAGAAACCCTGCCTGCTCGCTTCTCTTGCCCAGTTTCCTCAGCGTTGGTTCCTGAGATGCTCCCGTCCAGGGCTGGAACTGGCAAGGCTACACCTTCCGTCTTGGCATAGTTTTTTTACTTAGCCTTGTAAGAGCTGGACTTCAGGGCTGACATTCCCAGTGGAAACGTTATACTTGGGAGTTCCCTCAGTGAAGCCTCCAGCTGAGAGGGCCACTGAGTGTGTTCCACTTTGCTGACCAAAGCAGCTAGCGAGCAATTGGCCGAGAAGCTTGCATTTCTTAGCATTTGTTCGATTCTTTTCCTTTCAGTGTGGTCAGATGATGACTGGCTGAAGAAGTTTTCTGGGAAGACTCTCGAAGAGAATAAAGAGGAAGAAGGGTCAGAGCCACCCAAAGTAGAAACCCAGGAGGTGAGATTGAAGGCATGTGCTTCCCCGCGAGGGGCTGGCACTTTCCACAGGAGCCTTTTTTTTTTCTTTAAAGTTTTTGTGGAAATTTGCAAGTACATATACAGAAGCAGAGAGAATGAAAAACGAAGTCTTAGTATTGTGGTAAAGGTGGTATTGAGTGAGTGAAAGAGAAGCTCTGGGTCTCTCACCTTTGTGCTCTGTGTAATGAGCTGTTCCACTCTGCCCAGCCCTGCCCAGACCTGGGTTGGGATTGCCTGAGGTGAGGAAGGCGAGTGGGTGCTCCTCTTCACCCCTCCTGCCCAGTCCCTCCTTCACTGAAGCACTTTGCACAGGCTCACGGTCTCCCTGTCCCTGCCCCGATGCAGGGGGCAGGGCCGGGGTGGTGGCACCTTCCCTCAGTCTGCACGCAGGTTCGAGGCTCTCCCTCACCAGGAGCAGCCTGCTGGCAACTCTCTTCTGACTCTGGGCATCCCTCTCCGGCTGGCCCCTTGGGCTTTCCCACCCCTCCCTGTGAGTGTTGTTCTCCGGATTTCTTTCTTGGCTCAGGGCATCCCTCTCCCTCTCCGCTTCTCCTCTTGGCTGAAACACTAGCAGTCACGGATCTTTTGCAGCCTCTCCTGGCCTCTGTTCCTAGGGTCAAGCTGCACACATTTCGGCCGCAAGTGTCACAGGCAGTTTCGAGTTGCCCAGAATGGGTGCCCTCCTCTCTCTAATCTTGTTCTTCGTCTTTTTGATTTGCCACCATCCATCCACACACACACTGACCCAAGCCAAAAATTTGGTTGCAAAGCAGAGCACACACATGGCCTTCACAGTCAGAGATGCCTTCTGTCAAACAGCCAGCACATCATCACATGCTGCTGAGTTTTCCTGTCAAACCTTCCTGAGTCCACCTCCCCTGTTTGTCCCACTGCCCCCAGCAGCCTCTTCTCCTGCACGTACTTGCCGAAGCTTCCTAACTAGTCTCTGGTGTGCTGCTCTCTAGTCCTTCATCAGGACAGCTAGAATGATCTGCTGAAGGCACAGACTGATGCCCTGACTCCTGCTGAGAACTTTTCAGTGGCTCGCATCACCCATCCCAAGGGATAAAGTTGGGGGGGTTGCTCCCCAGCTCCTGTGCCCCCACCTGGCCGTCTCACTTCCACCCTCTGGAAACCCAGTCTGTTTCCCTGTACATCCTTGCTTTTGTGCAGGCTGCTCAAGTGTTTATTGCCTGTCCCTTTCTAGGCAGGGATTCTATGAGGTTAGGGGCCTTGTATTCAACATCGTATAACTAAAAAGTGAGGTGGAGGAATGTGGTTAAGAGCATGGGCTTGGGGGTGGGGTGGGATGATTTAGGTTTGAATTCCAGCTTCACCCCTTACCACCCTCTGGGTTTGGACAAGTGACTGCACTTCACTGTACCTCCATTGCCCCACCTATAAAATGCAGATAAATAGTGGTACGGCTTGTTGCTCAGGATGGTTGTAAAGAGTTGATGAGCTAACGTATGTGAACGGGGAGAACAGCCCCCTGCCCGTGGCAAGTGCTCTGTGCGTGGTTGCTGTTGGTGGCGGCAGATGACAGCAACCGTGTCCTCCAGCACTGGACCTCAGCACACGACGGCTAAACTGAACCCCAAACCAGTTGTGAACATTTGACTTTTCTCTTTGGAAGACATGTGATGCCCGCAAACGTCTCCTCGGGGTAGAAAACAGGGCCCCTCCTTCCCCCACTGCCCTCTGAGCATGCCAGGGGGCTGCCCTCCTGGCTTCCCTTGTAGCCAGCCTGCGGGTCTGCGGGGCCGAGCGTAGAGGAGGATGTTGTGAGGAGGCTTTGTGGGTGCGGAGAGGCATGCATTGCGGGCCAGGGAGCTGGGGTTCTGGGACCGCAGGCCAGGGTGCAGTGAGCTGGCGTCTGAGGGTGAGTGGGACGTGGTCCCGAGCCTGCGGGGGGGCGGGGGGACTGAGTTAGCTGGTGCTCAGGAGTCCCGGCCCTGGGGGTCTGGCTGGCGGCACCTTGCTGCAGCCCGCTCGCTGCACTTGGGTTCTTGGTGTGTATGCAGAATACCCGCTCTCCAACTTGCGGAGTCGGAGTGCTCCCCAACCTGACATTTCTTCTGTGCCCAGGGAGAGCCCACGGCAAAAAAGGCCCGGTCGAATCCCCAGGTGTACATGGACATCAAGATCGGGAACAAGCCAGCCGGCCGCATCCGGATGTTGCTGCGTTCCGATATTGTTCCCATGACAGCAGGTGAGCCGGCTGCGGGCCGGATGCCGGTGGCTGCAGGCAGGGTGCCGGGGGGCTGCGGGGGCTGCGGGCGGGGTGCCGGGGGCTGAGTGGGGGGCCTTCCCCAGGTTCTCACTGCCTCCGCTCCTGTGCTCTTGACAACAGCTGACCTGAGTGGATTTGAGGCATCTCAGATCCTGGGATCTAGTAACAGATTGAGTCTGACCAGGCACTTTTGAAGCTTTAAAGGTGCTGCTTTGCTATTTTTTAATAATAAGAGGGTTTTTTTTTTTTAATGTAAGTAAACATGTATTCGTGGTTAAAAAAGCAAACAAAACCCCCAAAAAACTGTACATATTCGAACGATACTGAAGGCAGTAAAGTAGAAAACATCCATGTTCCCCCCTTCCACGTCCAGTTTTACTCTCCAGAAGTAACTGCTGTTAACTAACAGTTTCTTGAGTCTCTCTAGTGTAAATACTGACTTCTACTCATTCTTTTCTTTTTTTTAATCTAAATTTTATTATGTAGACATACAGTTTACAAAGTCAATTTCACAAAGCTTGTTTTGAAAAACAGCAGTCCCCTGGCCCCCGGTACTGGCCCCTGGCCTTGGCGCCCCGACGCCATCTGCGGCTCCTCGGAGGCAGCCAGTTTCAACTCTCAGCTGGTTCTTTCGGTTTTTATCTCCGTTTTGGTAGATAAGAGATTTATGTTGCTATTTCCTGGTTTTTTTGTTTTAGACATCTGTTGGCTTCTCACTTCAGGAGATAAGGAATCAGCTGTTTAAATCCCTTTAGCTGCCCCTTCATCTTCCTCATAGAGTTACCATAAGTTTGCTTAGTCCAGAGGTTATTCTGACTACGTAAGCATCATACTAGGGTAACCTCCTTTCACGCACAGCATTTTGCCTTCCTGGGATTCGTAATTGTCTTGTTTTCACACAAGCTTAGTCTTCGGTGCATTTATTCCTGATGCTCCCCCTAATTCTGCTGCCTGTGTAAATATCTCATCATGTTCACACACCCCAGATATTCTATCAGTTTCCCTCTCCTGTAGAAGTTCCTCTTTGGAGCCTCTGACTCTTCTGCCTGGACCACGGCTTTCCAGGCCCACTGCACAGCGAGTGTCGTAGGGTCTCTTGTGTTCACCTCTTAGGTTGGACTCTGTTATCTTCTTTTTTGGTGCATTCCCTCATTTTAGTAGAAGACATCCTTCTGTAGCTTCTGCAGCAAAGAACTTGGGAAGTAAGTTTTTTGAGAGTGAAGACTAAATATATGTACCTTCCCACTTGATGGATAGTTGGGGTATAGAATTCTAGAGAAGTCGAATGTCATTCTGATTCTTGATCCTTTATATAAAATTTTTCTGTCTAGTCCTGAGCTGTCTAGTATAGTAGCCACTCACCATATGTGACTATTGAAATTTAAATTAAATAAAATTAAAATTCATTTACTCAGTTACACTAGCCAGGTGCTTAGGAGCTATTCCCAGCCCTGCCTAGATAGAGGCTTGCAGGGTATCTGTCCTGTGTCCTGAAACTGTATGCCTTTGGATAGACCTTACATGGATCTGGATATTCAGTGGGCCTCACTGTATTCGTTTTCTCTTGCTGTTGTCACAGATTACCACAAACTTAGTGGCTTATGACAACACAAATTTATTATCTCCCAATCTGCAGGCCAGAAGTCCTGTAGGCTACAATGAAGATGGTGGCCGGGTCACCGCCTTCCCTACTGGAAGCTCTAAGGGAGGATGTTTCCGGGGATATTCATGTTGTTGGCAGAATTCAGTTCCCTGTATCTGTAGGACTGAGGTACCCCATTTCCCTGCTGCTGTCAGCTGAGGGCTATTCCCAGCTTCTGGAGGCTCGCAGCCCCCCTTTTCCTCCACCTTCAGAGCCAACAGTGGTGGATCCAGTCTCTCCCACATTTTGAATCTTTCTAACCCTAGCTGGGAAAAATTCTGTCACAGGCTCATGATTATATTAGGCCCATCTGGATAATTGGGGCTGCTTTCCCCATCTCGAGGTCCATCCATACCCCTAATCACGTCTGCAACAGCAAGGACGTCTTTAGGGGGCCATTACTCTGTGTACCACACTCACAGGACAGTGTTTTATCCTCTGGTTGGGAAAATTTCTTTCAATTATTTCTTCACTTTTGTCCCCTCTGATTTCTCTCTTCTTTCTGGAACCTTCCTAAGTGTTCTTTTTCTATAACACTCTGTGCTTATTTCCCAGAGGTAATATCATTTTATCTTTCCAGGGACATTAGTAAAGTTTTTTCTTCCTATAGTTTATGTCTCAAATCACTTTTTCCTGAGTTAGTTATGTTTTGCTTTGTGTTTGGTCTATTTGTTTTGGTCTTTGCTTTTCACATTAGATGCTTTCCTCACCTAAGCAATGGTAAGGCTTGCTGGCTGTGGCTTCCGCGGTGGGGTGATTCGTTGGGGTCTTTCTCTGTCAGACCCCAGATGTCCGTTTCCCTGACTTCCCTTCTCTTGGACAGCTTGGAGTCCTCCGAGAAGAGTCTAGCCTCCTGCTGGAGGCTCTGCATCCAGTTATTAGCCATCGTGGCAGCGGTGGGAGTTGGGGGCAGTATATAAACTTTCACTTAATCTCTGTTTGTCATTACGGTACCTCAGCCCCCGGCTATGTCTAGTATATCCCAGTCCAGAGACCTCTGCTTTAACCTACCAGAGAGCAGACCTCCAGCCGGCTGCCCGCGGGGGTCAGGGGAGGATCTGGGGGTTGGCTATTTTCTTAAATAGGCTTTCAACCAACTTTACTGTTTTTAGAACTACTTTCACCTTTGTACCTGAGCTTTTGGCATTTCTGCAACATAAAGTGAGTTGCTTCTCAGCTCTACCAGCTTAAGATTTAGCTTTCTTTTCTTTTGTCTTAAATGTTTCAAGTTTTTATTTAAATTCTAGTTAGTTAACATACAGTATAATAGTGGTTTCGGGAGTAGAATTTAGTGATTCATCACTTACGGTTTGCTTCCCTCTCTTTTTTTTTTCTTTCCCCTTTGCTCATCTGTTTTGTTTTTTAAATTCCACATATGAGTGAAATCATGTGGTATTTGTCTTTCTCTGACTGACTTATTCCGCTTAGCGTAATACCCTCTAGTTCCATCCACGTCATTGCAGATGCAAGATTTCATTCCTTTCTATGAATGAGTGATATTCCATTGTATATATACACCACATCTTCTTTATCCATGCATCAGTCGGTGGACATCTGGGCTCCTTCCACAATTTGGCTATTGTTGATAATGCTGCTGTAAGCATCGGGGTGTAGCTGCTGAGATTCAGCTTTCTCAAGTCTGCTACATCGCGTATGATTCATCTGTTTGTTTTCTAGCTTTCCAAACTTGTGTTGCTGTTGTATCCCCTCTCTCTTGCTCTTTTTTTCTGGCCTTTTTAACCTTTTTTTTTTTTTTTTTTAAGATTTTATTTATTTGAGTCAATTCCTGTCTCCCATCCTCCTGCCCGCCAGCACAGTTCAAATAGAGCAGTTCCTTGAGTCCTACTCAGCCTGTGGCAGAACAGAATTGCGGAGTTTTTAATCATTCAGAGGGAATCCTCCAGCTGGCCCTGCTTCTCCCTGAAGAGGGGACCCAGGACCAACAGTTAAGTGGGAAGACCCACTCCCTGGCGCCGCTCGTGGGGGGCCCAAGTCCTTCTGATCGAGGCCCAAAGGAAAAAAAAAAGAAGAAGAAGAAAAGCTTGGTGTGAAGCAGGAGAGAGTGAGGATTAACTGGACATATACCAGGGTCTCACTGCCTACAATCTTGATGACATTAGATGAACAACAGAGGAAGCTAGTGTGCTTTCCTGCTGAATTTTACATATATCTGGCCCAGGAAGTGGAGAATAAAATGAAGGAAATCCAGTGTATGGAGACTCAACAGCATTAGTAGCTCTACTGAGAAGCCTGCAAATTGAGAGAATGAAACCTCTGGTCATAAACCACGTTAAGGAACTTGGAAGCAGATCCATCAATCCTTAAATGCAAAGACTGTTGTCTGGACTGACAGCTTGATGGAAACTTCATAAAAGACCCTGGAACAGAATCATCCAACTAAGCATCCACTCCCAGAATCTTGACCTTAGAACTTGAGTAAATAAACGTTTGTTTTTTTAATCTGAAAAGGTATGGGATAGATTTTAATGCAGCACTAGTTGACTAGTATCAATGTTAGTATCTGGAAGTAGAGTGCTGTCACAACTACAACCTAAAATGAGGGAATGGTCTTGGAATGGACCGTGGGCTTTGAGGAGAGTTTAGTGAAAACTTAGAGTACCTTTAACTTACCACCTGTAGAGGTTTGGACTTGGAGCGTGCTGTAGATAACTCTCCAGAAGGTGAAGAATATTTTATTGGAAACTGGAGAAAAGGATATCTTTGTTATGTAGTGGCAGAAAGTTTAGCAATTCTGTTGCCTACAGAATTGGAAAGTAGAAAATATATATGCTATATGGAAAGTAGAAAATTAATAAACTGGGTGATCTGGGTAAGAAGATTTACAACCAAAGAAGTGCCACCTATTGTAGTCTTTTTTTTTTTCTTGCTCTTTAGAGTGAAATGCAAGAGGACAGTGACAAACTGTTAAGAATGAACAAAGGAAAACTTAAACAGAAAGGGGTCAAAACATCACGATTTTGAAGTTTCTCAGCCTCTTCAGCAGGCAAATGATACTAAAATTAAGAAATTATTATGGAGCAAAGATTAAATCTAGGTTTAGCAAGACAAATAAGGTCTAAAGATGAAGCTGAGAGTATGATTACAAAATTTTTTATTAAGCCCTCAAAAAATTAAAGGTAATATCTTAGGGTACCTTTACATAAAACAAAAGCCCTTGTAAGGAAATTAAGTATACACCGCATAGATCCTCTCAATCAAATAATAGTGTTCCTAAGTAGCTTAAGGGTGTTCTATCATAACAGTCTCAGCAGTAGCCCAAGGAACAGAAGGGCTTAATCTTGAAGAGATATATGGTTTTACCCTTTGTCAAAGGAACTAACACCTAAAATGATCTAGAGGACACCCAAAATGTTTTTAGAGTTATATTGGAAGTACTGTCATTTTGGATTGAAATGGACAAGGAATACAAAGTGAAGGGTTTATTCCAATGCTAAAACTTTGTCAGCGGGAAGCAAATAGAAAACTACTCAGATGTCAACATGTGATTGTTACCCTTCACGAAAAAGGCGGTGCAGAGGGCAGAGCCATGAGAACAGAGCACAGAACGAATGGTGAAATATTTCTATAAAGGAAACTTCCCCTGATCTACTATTTTATTACTCAGTATAGCTTATATAGGAAATACAGGATGAATGCATCACTCTTTCCCTCTACTTTCTAATTTTTTTAAAGAATGAGTTTATTCCCAATATGCAACAATTTCTGCATATTCTTCCTGAGCAGCATCATACGCTTCTTAAGTTCTTTCAATTTTTTTTCAGCGAGGTCATTGAAATGAGGAGTAAAGATCTCTGTTTTAGGAGTGTTTATTGGGCCTTGATCTACCCTTTGAATGTTTTAATATCAAATAGCAAGTCAGAATGTTCAAATCTACTTCTTGTTGTACTTTCCTCTACCCCCTCTCTGCCTCACATCCTGATTTTCAGCTGCCTTGTTGGAAAGAGAAGAGCCCTTCCTGCTGGTTGACAGTTCTGATAAATCATATAACTCTGCTGATAATGGTAAAAGTTTTAAGTTTAAGACTATGAGATCTGGTTTTCCACATGAAAATGGGAATTTGGAAATTTGCAAAACCCTTTTTTCCCAATAAAGCTTGGATTTTGAAATTAAAAAAAAAGATTTTATTTATTTGACAGCACAAGCAGGCAGAGCGGCAGGCAGAGGGAGAGGGAGAAGCAGGGAGCCCGATGTGGGGCTCGATCCCAGGACTCTGGGACCGTGACCTGAGCCGAAGGCAGATGCTTAACGACTGAGCCACCCAGGCGCCCCACTTTTTAACCAGTTTTAAGTGTATAGTCCAGCGGTGTTGATTGCATTCACAACACTGTACAACCATCACTGCTGTCTTCAGAATGTGCCCACCCCATACCGAGCTGTGGAGCCCATTAACCCTCTCCTCATTGTCTCCCTCCCGCCCTGGTGGCCTCTAATCTACTCCCCACCTCTGGATTTGCCTGTTCTAGACATGTCCTAGAAATAGAATCATACAATATGTGGCCTTTCCTTTGTAACTGGCTTTTTTTACTTAGTGTGTTTCAAGGTTCATCCGTGTTATAGTGTGTGTTGGGGTTCCATCCCTTTTTTATGCCTGAATAATATCCCATCGTCTGGATATGTGACATGTTGTTCGTTCATTTGTTGATGGATACGAGCATTGTTTCCACTTTCTGGCTATCATGAATAATGCTGCTGTGGACATTCGTGTACAAGTATGTGTTTGAATGCCTTTTGTCAGCTCTTTTGCGTACATACCTAGGGGTGGAAATGTACTCACCTGGCAGTTCTGTGTTTACCTTTTTGAGAAATTGCCGAACTCTTTTCTAACGTGGCTGCACATTACATTCCCACCTCCAATGTATGAGGGTCTCAGTTTCTTCATATTCCTGCCAACACTCATTATTGTCTGTTGGTGATGGCCATCCTAATGGGTATGAAGCGGCATCTAATTAGGGAAATTGCATTTCCCTAATGACCAGTGGTGTTGAACATTGTTTCGTGTGCTTATGGGTCATTTGTAGCTCTTTGGAGAAATGTCTGTTCAAGTCTTTACCTATTTATCAACTGGGTTGTTCGTCTTTCTCTTACCGAGTTATAGGAGTTCATTGTTTATTCTGGATATTGAACTCTCACCAGATAAGATTTGCAAATACTTTCTCCTGTTCTGTGGGTTGCCTGTCTGTTGAGTGTCCTCTGATGCCCAAAGGTTTTTAGTTTTGATGAGGTCATTTATTTTTTCTCTTTTGTTATCTGTGCTTTGGGTGTCATATTTAAGAAACTGTTACCAAATCCAGAATCGTGAAGATTTGCCCCTGTGTTCTTCTAAGGGATCTTCTAAGATCCTGTTTGGTTTTTCTTTAAAAAAAAAAATCAGTTGCCCTCCATTTAGAGTGGAGCAGAGCTGGAATGCAGGTATTCAGTTTTCCTTCTTAATCAGAGTCCCTCTGGTCCTTCACAGTGTAAGGATCACAAAGGTTTGGAATACCCAGCATACTTTTCATTGAAGATACAAACACTAAACAAATACAGTTTATCAGAATCTAGCTACAGAGGTTTTGGGTTTTTTTGTTTTTTGGGGGGGGAGGGGTTGTTTTTGTTTTGTTGTTTGCTCAAAGACTTTTGTGTTATTAGAGTACATGGGCTAGGAGTGACGGGAGCGGGTAGCTCGTGGGCAGCCACTGTCCTGACCAGTATCAGATGCCCATCCCGATGGCCACCAATGTGCCAGAGGGGCCGCCACACTGCACGGCCTCACGGTTTTCCCGCTGCAGCCCACCAGCTCCCAGCCCTGCATCCCCATCCCGGCCCACATGCCCAGTGTGCGGCCCATCCCAGAGCCCGTCTTCACGTGGTCGAAACAGCTCGGTCGGGACTGTCCGTGGGGATCCACGGCCCCTGGCATCTCGCTTATGGCTTCAGTGGCTCCCTTCCATGTCTCCCGTGGCACACGAGGCAGAGCGTACCCACGGCCCGAGGAACGGCTGTTTTGTTTTCTGACCTCCGCACCTTCTCCTTTCTCCATGCCAGAGAATTTCCGATGCCTGTGCACCCACGAGAAGGGCTTCGGCTTTAAGGGAAGTAGCTTCCACCGCATCATCCCTCAGTTCATGTGCCAGGGCGGTGATTTCACGAACCACAACGGCACGGGGGGCAAGTCCATCTACGGGAAGAAGTTCGACGATGAGAACTTTATCCTCAAACACACGGGACCAGGTGGGAGCCGATGGGGTGCGGTGGCGGGGGGAGGGCGGGGAGACGGTGGCTCGGGTCTGCAGGCGAGCCAGCCGGTGAGCCAGCGGCAGCGTGCGGCGTGGCCGGAGTCGGGGAAGCAGCTTCCATCTGTCCACTCCTCACCCCCTGCACACCCCCTGGGGTCTAGCTCCAGTTCTGGGGCCTGCCATGGTGAGCTGGGTCCCTCAGCCCTGCTGCCTCGTCCTGTCAGACATACCCCTCTGTGAGTGGTCGGTCCCCCCACGACTAGAGAAAGCTCTGTGCTGAGTGGTCATCTTGAAGTTTAGGATGCATTTCTTCTGGGGCCTGGCAGTGTTACTAGAGCCCCTCAGTTAATCATGCTCCGTCCCCGTCAGCCGACGGTTGCTCGCTCCCTCCCTCCCGAAGCCTCCACGTCGCCCTCCAAGCTGATGCGTGGCCCCCTGCGTCCCCCGCCACGCGCCCGCTCTGCCTTCCCTCCGAACACAGGGCATGAGCTGTCTCCCTGCGGCCGGCCCTTCTGCTCGTGACCTGGACCCCATCCCGTCTCTCCCACCTAGGAGTGTGGCTTCTGTAGCTGTCCCCCTGCTGCCTTGTGGCCGCATCCTCTGCTAGATCAGCCCAGTGGAGTAAAAGTGTGCGGTATCGATCTTTAAAAAAAAAAATCATCCTTTGACTGTGTGAGCTATCATCCATGCCTCTAACCCCTGGTAAGGAAAAGTTGTGTAGACTCCCCTGCCTTCTGTTCGGTCTGTCCCCCTTCAGCCAGACTTCGAGCCCCAGCCTGGCACTGAAGCCAGTCCTATCATTCATGGCAAGATGGATGCTGATGTGCCAATAGCATCTATCTTGCCAGTGGCCAGTTCTCAGCCCGCATCCTGGGCTGGCTTCTGGCAGCATCTCCCTGGCTCCATCTCCGGCACAGATGTCCCCCTGGGGGCCGGGAGCCGGCAGGAGGGGCTGACGTGCTCCTTCTCTCCCCCAGGCCTGCTCTCCATGGCCAACTCCGGCCCAAATACCAACGGCTCTCAGTTCTTCCTGACGTGTGACAAGACGGATTGGCTGGATGGCAAGCACGTGGTGTTTGGGGAGGTCACGGAAGGCCTGGATGTCCTGCAGCAGATTGAGGTGGGTGGCTGCCCAGGCCCTGGGTGCGCAGCCCTGCGGGAGAGCTGGAGGGGGCCCGCAGCTGCTCCTGGGCAGGGCTGCTTCTGCTCAGGTGGGGGCGGGCACCTGGGGAGGGTGTCCCTGAGCTGCTCCTTCCTTCCCACCCTCTTCCTCTTCTGTCCCCGCAAAGGCCCAGGGCAGCAAGGACGGGAAGCCAAAGCAGAAGGTGATCATCGCCGACTGCGGGGAGTACGTGTGAGTCTGCACACGCCGTCTCTGCACTGCCCCTGCCTATCCAGGAGCTGTCAGCCTGGGAACCAGCACGTGAGGGTGTCTGTCCCCTTTGTGGCAAGCAGCGGTGTGTGTCGTGGCCCTTCTTGGGGGTCAGCTTGGAGCAGCTCTTCTGCAGACACGGCCCGGGCTCCCTCTGGCTCTCTCCCAGGTGTGGCTGTGGGCCCAGGAGCTCGCAGAGGTCCCCACTGTGGACGGGCTGTGCGTGACCTTTTCCAGGCCTTTGCTGCCACGGCTTCTCCTGGGCCCACCAGCAGGGCTCCTGGACATTGCTTCTGGCAAAATAAATCCTAGTTCTTGTACTGTGAGTCCAGCTAGTTCCTAGGAGTTGTGCGAGATTGCATCTCTGCTGAATTAGGCTGGCAGAGGGATAGGGCATAGCTTTTCTTTCCTCCCTTGGGTGGATTCCCTGAGATGCCAGGTGGTATATCTTCAAGCCAGGTACGCTTGTCAGACCATGGTCAGGACAATGGAAATCAAAAATATCAAAGAAGTCTGTCTCCTGCTGCCTTCTACTCCTGAACTCCTGCTGGTCAGTCTTCGAGGCAGCAAGTGTACTTTATCACTCACAACGATTCATTTGTTTCTTCATATTCGTTCTACCGAATTTTTTTTAAGTAAGCTCTGTACCCACTGTGGGGCTTGAACTCCTGACCCTGAGATCAAGAGTCGCGTGCTCTACTGAGCCAGCCAGGCGCCCCCATTCTACAGAATTTGTAAATGTTGTTTTATAACTCAGAGTGCCTTCTCTGTGCCAGGTACTGTGCTTATTTGTCCGGAGGCAGGACGTCACCCAGCTCTGTGGGCCTAATCCAACCTGCTGCTTTTTTTGTGAGTAAAAAGTTATTGGAATACAGCCACATCCATCCGTTTACATATCATCTATGGCTGCTTCCGTACCGCAGGGACAGATACTGTATGGTCCCTATGTTAGAGCTGTCCAGAGAAACAGAACCAGTAGGATGGGTGTAGATATGTATGTAGAGGGAGATTTATTTTAAGGAGTCGGCTCCGTGATTGTGGGGGCTAGCAAGTTGGAATTCTGTAGGGCCAGCAGGCTGGAGACCCAGGGAAGAGTTGGTATTGCAGCTCGGATCCGAAGGCTGTGTGGAGGCAGAATTCCTCCTCCCTCGTGCAGTCTGTCTTCTCTCTCTTAACAGCCTTCCACTGATTGGGTGAGGCCCACCCACATTGTGGAGGGTAATCTGCGCTACTTCCAGTCTGCTGCTTTACACATTAATCACATCTGAAAAGTACCTGCTCAGCAACATCTAGACTGGTGTTCGACCAAAAACCGGCTATCATGGCCTAGCTAAGTTGACACATAAAATGAACCAATACAGCCTCAAAGCCTAAAATACTACTTGAACCTTTGCAGGATGAGTTTGCTGATGGCTGAAACACATGGTCCCACCCTGTGCTGAGCTTGGTCCTTCTAATGCAGCCACTGCTCAAGTCAGGCTGGCTCCTCTTCTCCATTCCCTCTCCACATACTGCTCAGCCAAATGGTTTTCAGGAATCCCTCACCTGTTGAAGGCCCTGAGCAGGGGCTGAGCCCCATGGTCACTAGACACCTCTCTGTGGTTGGGTTACCAGGACCATTCAGAATCCATCGGGATGGGCTTTTTCATCTTGAGATCTGGACAAGCCAGACGTAGGAGAGGCCTGATGCCTCCTGGCCCTGGTGACCCCAGGAGCACTCCTGTGAGGGATGATAGCATTCTGCCCCTACCTCTGGCTTCTGTACCCAATGGACTCCTAGCCCTTGGCTGAGCTCCTGCTCAGGGTTCCTGTCTCCTTGTGGCTAGGATGTACCACATGGTTACCCTTGACCCTGTGGAGCTCCCAAAAGAGACCTTCCCTCAAAGCACAGGCCCCCACTCTGAGGGCAGACTCTGGCCATCACGGGTCAGTCACCAGGAAAGGAGGTGTAGAAAGGGTGTAGCATGGCCACCTCCCAAGAGGGGCCTGACTTCTGTGACAATGACCTTGTTACTTTCTGTTCTTCCCTGGTAGCACCCACTGGGCACCACTGCCCCTCCCGGTGCTCACAGGTGTTATCACTGTATCCACAGCAGAACCCTATACAGAGGGAAACCATGGCCCGGGTGACATGCCACAAAGTCACCCAGAATATGGCAGAGCTGGGACAGGAAGCTCGGCCTGCCTGCCCCTAGTTTAATGGGGTCCTGGGAGGTTTACTGGGCTCTAGCCTCAGTCTATGGCAGGGGGCCCAAGGCCCTGGGGGAAGACACGGTCATGGTCCCTATAATTAGCCTGGACCCTTTGGGGAGACCCAAGGAAGCCAGGCTCTTCTCTGCCAGGCAGGAGGGGCCCAGAGCCCGGGGAGCAGTGGCCTGGCTGCCTGGTTCAGCTGTCACAGCACCAAACCTCTGTTGCATACGAAGACTGCACCGTTGGAAGTGGACCGGAGGGTGCCATGCGGCCTTTGCTGTGGCCCAAGGACAGAGTGCCTGCCTCAGTTGCCTGGCTCCCATCCAAGGTGGCCTCCTGGTCTGTGTGCGTGTTGCTCCGTTGCAGCAAACAGGGCTGGGTTTTGCCGGTGCGCAGACTCCTTTAGGCTGTGGCCCTGAGGTCAGTCCTGCGGCTGCTGGAGCTCCCTGTCGGATTCAGGCACTGCGAGCTCTAGGCCCCTGTCAAAACAGCCTGCAGCAACCCTCCCAGGAAGGCATTAGGGGCCTACTTTTTAGTTGTGAACGCTGAGTCTCATAGGCTTCGGGGGTTAAAAACCTAGAAGGCCATGTTTTCAAAAAATATTTATTAACAGGAAAATTTTTACTGCATAATAAAGTGGGAAAAGCATATTTCAAAGCAATTTATATGACAGTATGATCCTAATTTTGTAAAAATATCTGATATGTAAACATCTGTATGTGTATATCCTAAGATAAAGGCCTAGAAATAAATTCACCAAAATATTGTGTTTATGAGTCATACAACTATGGTGATTTCAGTTGTATTTTTCCAGTTTTTCCTCCAAAACTGCATTCTTTTTGTAATAAATGAAAAACCCATTTTTTAAAAGGGTGGGTGAAGCTTTGTACCTTCAGCAGGCTGGTGGGATCCCCTCGCCTCTGGGAACACAGGGAAAGCTTCATAGCCCTGGCCATAACCAGGCACTTTCCTTAGGCCTTGAAAGCAGGTGAGAATACAACGTTCTCCCTCCACGGATTGCAGGGTGTAGGTTTTTCAGGAAAAACCTCAGCTCTGAAATAAACACTCCCATCACCTACAGAACACTTCCTAGGAGGAGGTTTAGTGGACAAGCGTGGAAAGGACTAAGCAGATCAGCAAATTCTTTTGTAATAATGCCAACAGGTACCTGCTGCAAAGTGTTTATATGGCAGACGTTGTCCTACATGTGAATGTCCCTACTGATCTTTGTAATAGCTTGGAAGGAAAGAAGCAATATCCTGCTCCAGAGAAGAAAAACCAAGATTCAAACCCATTTGACTTCAAAATTCCTCTTGCTATGCTGCTTTCCTATTTCTTAGGGATTTTTCCAGAAGGGGTCACTTTACCACCTTAGAAAACCGTGAACACTAACGTGCTGCTTGGCCTCGAGGCCAGCCTTGCACTGCCCAAACCAAGGCTGACTGTCATGCGTCTGCCCTCAGCCCTTTCCCACATGCCCTCCCTTCCTGGCAAGTCACTGACTCCTCGTTGCTCTCGGGTCTGACCAACTGCCCGTATTTATCCTTCCAGTCCCGTGCAACCAGATAAACAAGCCATGCCCTGAGCGAGAGAAAGGGAAACGGTGCCATCTGGGCTGCTCCCTGCAGCTGCCGTGCTTGGCTCAGCAAACTGATAACTGGGAATACAACACATGAAGCAAGTGCGTGCAATATCATGCATAAATGGGATAAAATGCATGGGCCTCATATCCATTCACAATTGTTTCACTGCTCAGGGCTTTTTCTATGCGATCTCATTCAGTGACTGCGTGGATGGCAAAGGTTGCTGGAAGTCTGACCCAGGTAGGAAGGCAAAGGCTTATTTTTCAGCTGTTGGGCATGCAAAAGGAAGGTTATGACCTCCCGGCATCCGTGCCGTGCTCAGCCTGACAGGTGAGGTGCGCTCCCAGTCTATAAACCTTGGGAGTGATTTGACAGACATTCCTGGTGCACCCCTAATTGTGCCAGGCTGTTGGCTGGGTACCAAAGGTACCAGGTGAATTTAAAAATTGTTCAAATAACTGGCTAATGTTAAATTTATACTTGCCCAAAAGACAGTCCTCGATGTTAGGAAGACAGTAGTGTCAAAGGATTAGAATGGCAAAGAGGTTCCCTATTACATACCAACTCTTACCTGTGACTGCCACCTGAACCGAGTTCGGGGTGCCGAGGCTGGATCTGGCTGGGCACAGTGTGAAAAAGTGCTGACAGACAGATTCCTGGCAGGAGGCCCTCTGGAGACCCGAAAAGCTCATTGCCTTCAGGTTCGGAAGGAAAATTAGGCCCAGACGGGGAAGCCCCCTACGAATCCGGTCTCCTAACATCTACGCCAGAGTTCAGATCCCTGCACTGATGGGGAACTCTCCACCTTGCAGACAGTCTGGGCCCACCCTCTGTGTACCCAGGGAGGGTCTCTCCCTCTGCGCTCGCTCCAGAGTCCCTTCCCGGTCCCTGCGGAGGGGCCGCTGTCCTGCACCAGGGCCCCAGCATCCACACTCGCTGTCCCACCTGCTATCCCAGGGCCCCTCCTCGGGGTGCCGAGTGACTGCTGAGAGGCGCATCCTGGGGCACATGGGGGGGGCGGCCCCCCAAGGTGCTTTGAATGACACAGTATTTCAGGGTTCAGGCAGCAGGACTCTGCCCCAGCAGGTAACTTACAGGCTTAGTGAGTCAGAAATCAAATGCTCCAGCGGCCTGTGGCGGTTTCCAGGACCCTCCTCACCCGGGGCCAGCCTGATTACTGCCTGTCACTCCCCAGGGACAGGTGACCTTGTCTCGGGCTCACAGGTCTCGCTCCCGGGCACACAGGGCGATGCAGATTATGACAGCCTGTTTCTGACAACTTCTGGACATGAGCGGGTGCTGGGAGGCCCTAGCCCCGGCCACAGGCTGCCCAGGGTCACAGAGGCACTGCTGTGGGTGAAGTGGGTTGCTCCTTAGCACAGCAGAAGATGGCAAACAGTTTTCACTTCACGTATCAACTCTGATCTCTTGGCTGTGGCGGCGTGGAGTTCTAATACGGATTATTTTGAAATTCTATACAGATTTGGAAGGAAAAAATATCAAGATGGATGATTAATTTTTGCCATGCCAAAGGGAAAGGGAAATGATGT